CACATTGTCAGCATTTGAAGATACTGGTACTTAATCCTCTTACAGAAAATTTGCCTCTAAATTTGAAGCTGGAAAGTCACTGGAACAACTGAAAAACAATATATGGCTTTTTTTTTGGTATGTGTGTTAAGAATTGTGTACAAAGTGAATCATGTGTACTGATCCTCAACACAACCAATAAAATCTCAAATATTGAAGATAGTTCTGTGGTTTAAAGTCTGATTTACATATTATTTAAAAAAGTTCTGTACTTAACCTATATGTGAGGGTTGTTGGAGTTTAAATCCAAAGCCTCTAAACTGAGCTCTGCCTTTAACCCTTAAGACAGGACCTCACTTTTGTTCATTGTTGACAGCACATTGGAAGCCCAGGCTTTATGGATCTGAGGGTTGGATCCAGACAGGCTAAGTTGGTGAATTACACAAGCAGTGGCCGGAGAAGTTTAGGGTGTGGGGGTGGGGTTATAATCCCAGGACACTGGGTGGGATGTTTGGGGTTAAAGTTCCCAAGATCCCTTGAACAGGTGTGCAGATAATGCTGGACCTTCTGGCACCCAGGAGATCCTATGTCCAGTCCTAAACTTTATGGCCTATTTGCCAAGGGCAATGTGGACCTCTAATAGCTTCCTGATGTTTCTAGAGGGTATTATATTTGCTGAAGTCAGGTCTGGCCTGACAATTTTGCCTCAGCCTATCAGAGTTTGAGTTAAATGTGCATCAATGATATCTTTTTTTAATTTAAAGGAAATAGTTGAAAGATGTAGAGTTGACCTGTATTGGCTTACCTGGCAGTACCAGAGGTGGAAGCCAAGGCCTCCTCCAGGCTAGGCAGGCACTGGCCCCTGAACTATGTCCCCAGCCCCTCACTGCTGCTGGATCACAGATCCAGTGTCCTGAAATAAATACTGCTTGTAAGGAAGGTTACAAGCACAGGAAAGCTGCAGATACACTGCAGTTGATATTGGGGTGGAGGGGTTGTGTTCTAGGCTTGGGCCTCAGTATAGTATTAAAGCTGGACTAGAACGCTCCTGGTCTCAGCTCTTGTCCAGCCTCAGCCTCCTGAGTAGCTGGGGCTACAGGTGCATTTCACTGTGCCTTGCATTGTATTTTTCAGTACATGCTTTCGTCTGTTCATCTTTTATGTTTGCTCTCTAAAAGCTTGAGAGGGAGAGACAGTGTGGGGAGTGCATTGATTTGCAATTTGAAAGTGTCTAGAGAACTTGGTGGGGGTACTCTTGAATTTAGGGAACTTAGGTTATCCCACACAGTGTACAGCCAGCTTGCTTCTTTTCCTTTCCCCTCCCCTCCCCTCCTTTCCCCTTCCCTCCCCTCCCCCTTCTTTTTGGTACTGGGAATTGAATTCATTGCCATCAGGTGCTATGCCACTGAGCTATATCCCTGGCTGGAAAACATGGTTTTGAACTGAGCTTCAAGGACACCATAGAACGAGTTCAATCTCCAGTACACAAGATAAAAATAACAGAATAATGAGGCTATGGGGTCTGAGTGAGTGCAAGGACCCTGGGGAAGAGAGAGGACCAGTGGCTGGACCTACATCTGAAGTAGTGATAATCAGATTTGCTTGAGTTCCTAAAAGGTTAACTGTGGGGATGTACTTTCCAGTGAGGTGCCACTTCCCTGTTATTGTACAGACTAATGGGAAAAACAACCAAGAGCCCAGTGCTTATGCAGCTGCACCCCCCAGGCCCCTGCTTTGCCCCCAGACAGCACTAAGGGCTCAGTAGGCTCACATTGTCTTAGTGGGTTGAACTCATTGGTATTAAAGAAAGGATTCTCAAGCAAATGGGTAAGGGTAAAGACTGAAAAGTGTCAGGAAGGTAGAATGGAAGCATTGTAAGAGCCTCCCTGTCTTGTCATGTATTCAGAAGTCCAGTAACCTTACACTTAGTTACCATCTTTTCTTTAAGACAGTCTCAGCAATACAGTTCAGTCTGTCTTTGAATTGTGTAGTCCAGGGTGGCCTCAGACTCAGTGATCTTTCTGCTTCAGCCTCCTGCGATTTTGACAGGCATGTGCCACCATGCACTGCCATACCATCCTTCTAAGAAAAACATCCCTCAACTGGATGTCCTCTTCAGCTGTCAAATGAGAACAACTTAAAAATTCCACTTTTGGGGACTGGTGAGATAAACTCAGCAATCTAAAGTGCCTGCTTAGGCAAGCTCAGGTGCAGGGGACCTTCGTTTGATCCCCAGCACCAAATGCTGTGCCAGCCCCACCCTCAGGGAGGGCTGAGCCTGCCCCACCCCCCCAAAAAATTCCACATTCCTAGCTGTGCCTAGTGAAAGTCAGTTTAGGGATTTGGAGCAAAGATCATTTTGGAAAAGATCATAGTGCCTACACTGTGGCTGCTTTAAGGACAACACGTCCCGGGTGGGTGGAGGTCAGAATTGTGCAGGAGCATAGCAGAGATCTGAGGGCTGGGAGGAGAAAGGAGTGATTGGCTTGAGCAGCAATTCACACTCATGGAGAGAACTCAGGAAATACACCCAAGCTAAAAAACCCTAACTCACAGCCTTAGGCAGCTTTGTAAATACCATTTGAAGGCAATGTCAAGCTGCTAAAGTGGGAGG